TTTGAATAATTCATTATTGTTATGTATTTTCCATTTGCTATTCCAGGCTGCACAATTACTGCTTCTTTGGCTTCTCTGGCTGTAGTCCCTATATAAAGGTTTTCTTTTATCGGTTTTTGTATTTTGATATGCCCTATAGTCATTGGGGGTATATCTGTTTCTTCATTCGCTAATACTTTATATTCAGCATTTTTCCCTTCTCGTACTGTAGGTAGTATGATATGTCTAATATATGTAGGGTATTGTTCTCTAATTTCTTTATAGAAATTTAGGCCTACATCCGTTATATCAGATATATTTCCTGGTACTCCATATCCTTGTTCTGGTTCTGATTCAGTATCTAGTTCGGTTTGGTGTTCAGCTAGATCTTCTAAGTACTTTTCTTGTTCTATGGTATATGCCCATGCTTCTGCTGGGTCTTTATATTTAAATGCTTGTTTCCACTCTTCATCAGTTAATGATGATTCTCCTTTTGGGACTGGGTATAGGACTTTCTCTCCATTCCATTCGGATTCTATGGTTCTTGTCCATTTAGTTTCTTTTGGTTCATAACGTCGAGTTGATCCTCCTGCTTCATATTCGTCATTTGGATCATACAACTCTCCTTGTTGTTGGTTATTCTGCTGACTATAATCATTATAATCATTTGTATCATCTAGAATATAGTCATCTAATTCAGCCATTTGTTGTGCTTCTTCTGGTGTTAATTGTTCTCTTTCTGTTTGCCTGAATAGTTCTTGTCTTAATTGATTTTCTTTTCTGAATTGTTCTAATCTAGGGTTTCTTGTGGAAGATTGATTCGAGAATTGTGACCTTTGTCTTTTATGACCGTATTTTGGTAGTTTTGGTTAGTCGTCATCGTCATCATTACTTGTTGCATAAAGGCTAGTTGATTCTGATATTATATCAGTTGGTTGAATCTCCTTTGTCAATGGTGACGATTTATGTTGATGTTGTTTAGAGTGAGATGATGATTGTGTTGATTGCATTGAGTTTCTCCTACTTATCATTTGTTGTGCTGCACTTAAAGTGCCTTGTACCACTTCCTTTGCTTTGTTAAAGAAGGTTGGTGATGTTGGTGAGTTTGGTCTTGATGCGGTTCTGGATATTGTTTGTTCCGGTACTTGTGAATATTGGTCTTCATCTTGTTCTTTTATCCACTCTACCGTTCTTCCAAAATTTGGATCTAGTAGCCATCTATCTTCTAATGTTTCGACATCTCGTGGTTTATTTTCTGTTGGTTGATATTCTTCATGATATGGATTTTTTAGTGGAAGTGTTTCTGGTAATTCTAAGCCTTTTCTTCTTGCTTTGATTTGTTCTTCAAACATTTGTTTTTCTTCATCTTCTATATCATGCATTTTGTCTAAGTTTTCTAATGATACTCCCAGTAATTCTCTATATTTTACTTGGAGTTGTTGCCGTAATGGTTCACTTTCGCTTAATTCCATTTGTCTGGCAAGTCTTTCCATTAAGATTCGTTGTTCATATTCTTCCATGGCTTCGAAATCTTTTCTATCTAATGTCAATGCTTGATTAGTTGCATACCCATATTCTTCTTCTAAGTCTTTTACTAGGTCTCTTTTTTTCCAGAGAATAGCATCTTTAGTTTCTGTCAATGCAGATATTGTTTTGTATAGATAAGCTTTTTTATCTTCTGCTGTTTCGGCTTCTGCTATTTTTCTATTTGTGACTTTCTCAATTTCCTGGATATGTTTATTAGTTTGTTGTTTTGTTAACTGAGAAACATATTTGTAATTTGTTTCCATACTTTCTAGTCGTTGTTTCAATTGTCTTATTCCCATTCTTATTCTTGGATCTTCTTGTTCTTT